TGGGATGGTTGTGACGGACGGCGTGGAGGTTGTTGAGTCCCACAGGCTGGGCTGGGCCTGGCCTGACCTCCACTTCTACATGGGCCTGGCTGTGCCGTTCAGTGTGTGGGAGCCCCCTCCGCTACCCCAACCCTGCACCCAGAAAAATACAGGCGTTCTTGCTCTAGAAAGCACTCAAGAAATGCTTGTTGGAATGAAGGGAAGGAGGAGAGGACAGGAGGAGAGGCTGCCTAGAGAAGGTGTAGGGTGGCAGCAGGTGGCGATGGAGGCCCAGGGGTCCACGGTGGAGGCCGAAATGCAGGCACCTGCGCCAGGAAAGGTTGGTGTTGCCAGATTTAGTGAATGAAAGTACAAGACATGCGGTTGAGTTGGAATGTCAAATATATAAGAAGTTAAATTTGTTATAAATATGTCTGTTATGGCCTGAGTTGTGTGCCCCCCAAATACCCAAATACGTAGGTTAAATTCCTTACCCCCAGTACCTCAAGATGTGGCCTTGTTTGGACACAGGGTCTTTAGAGGTGACCTATTCAAAATGAGGTCTTTGGGATGGACCCTAGTGCAATGTGCCTGGTGTCCTTATGAAAAGGGACAGACACACACAGGGGAGAGGATGTGAAGAGACAGGGAGAGAGGCCTGGCAGATCCCCCCTTGGGGCCCTCACAAGGAACTAACCCTGTTGACACCTTGATCTTGGACGTCCAGCCTGCAGAACTGTGAGTCAGTACATTTCTGCTGTAAGCCCCTCAGTTTGTAGCACTTTGCCCTGGCAGCCCCAGCAATCTAATACCATGTGCTATGCAATCTTTAGGGCAGACTTACACTAAAATGTTACTTTTTCCCCCCAGAAATTCATATTTAAGCGATGTCCTCTATGTGCTGTGGCAAGCCTATGGAGGAACCCCTTCTGTGCAGCCCGATGACGAAGCTAGAACCATTAATGATGGGTAAGAGCCAGAGGTAGATTTCAACTTAAGCGGAAGTTCTTTCTAATTATTGAAATGACCACCTGATGGCACAGCTCCCTGAGGAAGGAGTGAGCCCCTCATTCCTGGAGGGGTGCAAGACAAGGCATACCTGCAGCTGCAAGTTGGCATCGGAATCCTCATAAATGCGCCGGGCGAACCCATCGTTCTCCAGGGCCAAGCTTTCCAGGAAGTTATAATTCAGATTGTTGCCAAAGCCCAGGGTATATAAGGGGAACCTGCCTCCAATGGCACTTAGCACGTTCTCCTGTATTTTAGCGGGTCTGCTTTCACCTGCAGGATAAAGGCGTGTTCACACTCTAGCCACCATCAGTCAACTGTCTAGACCTGCTCTGTCTGAAGAGATCTGACTCCTACACGTGCAGTTCGGGAGGCGTCATGGTCAGGAGCCTTTGTCAGACCAGAGGGTGGGGAGCCCTGGCAGGGGGTGGCAGGTCCCTGCCCTCAAGAGGCTCACACTCCACAGGAGCCCTGGGGAGAGCTGCCCAAGGTCTTGCAGCAAGCGGACTACAGAGCCTGGAGCGGCAGCCAGGCAATGGGGTTCTGATTTAGAGCTATAGCCGCCTGCCTCACCAACATTGGCGTCCCCGTCGGTCAGCATGATGACAATGGAGGTGCTCCTCTCTGGCACTGTGTGCTCCTCCCGGGCCTTGTTCAGCATGCTGATGCCTGTCAGCAGCCCGTCGTTGATGTTGGTCACTGGCACACAGAGAGAGCCCCATGGTAGGAGGCCCTCAGGAGACCATGATGGAAGAGGGGGTAGGGACATTAGGCCCTGCTCATGTGCGCAAGGACTCTGTCTGCCAGTACGTGGTGGTACCCAGTACACACTGACTAGGGAGTGAAGAATGAATGATTTAACCTTTCAAATGGGGGTCAAACTGCCTCTCAGGGTTGCTGTAGGAATAGAAGCACATGGTGATAGTAAAAACAATTTGGGAAACAGTCAGATGGACTCCCGGCCCTTCACTGGGAGGACAGGGGAGCAGTACAGACATCACTTGTGATTTTCTGTAAGAAACGACCAACAGTAAAGGTTCTCTGTGGCCTGATCATGCTGGGAGTTGGGGTGCACCCGCATCATGGCTTAGAAGCAGACAGATGGGTTTTCTTAGACCCTGAGATCAAGCCTGAGGACCCCACCCACTCCCACCTCTCCCCCAGCCAGGGTCTGCCGGCCTGGCCAGCAAAGCCTGTGCCCCAGGGAGGAGGGAAACAGGCTGCTCAGGCAGAGGGAGGGCAGTGAGAACGTTGCTCTCCCCTCTGTTCTTACTTCCTCGATCTCTAATGTTCTTCACAAACTCCCTGGCCTCCTGGATGTTCTCAGGAGTGGCTTGAACTAAAGTGTCTTTCCAAGTGGTCACATCGGAATCGAACAGGATGAAATTCAGGTAGTCCTCCTCTTTTTTATCCTCCAGGATTTTGAGGAGGGCATCCTTTGTCTGGGAAAGAGAAAGACAGGCAGACAAGAAGCTGGGAGAGGGAGCCACAGGCAGCCTGCTTTCTTCACAGCAGGGCTGGCAGTGGGGCCCCTGTGGCCTGCAACAATGGGGGTGGCCATTTCTGCCTTTTTAATCCTATTCTCCATCCTCCTCTTTCACTGGAAACATCAGCTTTGTCCACTTAAAACAAAACTGTCGCCCATCCTGGGTGGCTCAGTTGGGGGAGTGTTTTCCGTACTCCAAAGAGGCTGTAGGTTTGATTTCTGGTCAGGGCAAATACCTAGGTTGTAGGTTCAATCCGCAGTTGGTTCACCTACAGGAGGCTACCGATTTATATTTCTCT